TTGTAAATTTCAGCAGTCATTTCCTGCAAGATGACAAAAGTCAAAGCGGGCCTGTGGCACCTTCAGCAAGCTCCATGACTCATGGTAACGGACATTTTGTCTTTGTCTTTGCATTCATCTGGTATTTTTTTTAAAGAAACACATATATTTGGGATGTATCTGTTTTGCATCACCGTGTGGTGCCCGGTGTCATAAAGAATAGGACATCTGCATCCTCTCAGCATGTTGTAAGAGGCGACTAAGTTGCCCCATGGGGCCAGCAACCCCACACTGTAGAAAAAAAAAAAGATAACAGAAACAGTCTGCCTTATGTGTCTCTGAGCGCAATGAGGATTGATTGATTGGTTGATCTGTTTTGCAACATAAAAGACAAAGGCAGTTACAAAGATACAATCGTTGGTGTGTAAAGTGTCAAGCCTTCAATAATGTGAATGGTTCTAAGCAGTAAAAGTCATTATTAACCAAAAAACAAACCAAATCCTCATCCTAGATCACATATCCATGACCTTAAATATTTATTAACAAGTGACTAAAATATAACTTATGTTGTGTTTATTGTTAACAATGTTTATTTCAGATGAGCTGAAACAAGCAGTAGTAGCCATGATGCTGAGAAAAGATTCAATACAAGAACAGAATAGGTAAGATAATTTTATGTAAGTGACAATCTGGCATGCACAGCCATTGCCTTTTTTTCCATTGTAAAGTGATATACCAAATTTATATGTCTATAGCTGCAGTATTTTAACCTTAAATCGTTGATGAAAAATAGGGTGCAAATTAAATTTGAGATATCAGGCCCACATGCTATATTTGTGTGTCTTCTATAACTTCAGACATGTCTATGAAGATCAAAACTGCTTCTCCTTAAGATGTCAAGAAATTGATGCACAATGTTTGTCCACTGCAGAATCTCAAGGTCATTTCATGCTATAAAGCACCTTGCCCAGCCATAAATTACTTTAAATTCACCCTGAAGAATTTCCATGATGTCTGATAATTGACGCGCTTCAAACTGTAACATTTTCACAGATACAGAAAATCCATCTGCCTTATTTTCTTGACATAATCAAGCTGATTGGTTTCTACTTCTGAGTAATTCACCTTCTTTGTCACGAAGACTGTCGACTTTGGGAGGCTTTTTCAAGAGCATCATTCTTTCCAATCCATCTTCTTCACTTTCACAGCTATAAACTCTTTCGGAAAGTCCTGGTTGTTTCTCCACTACTATACTTTGGTCTTGTTCCAAGACTTGAGTGTTACGTGCACATCCATTTTACAGGCTTATTTTTGAAGACTGCTGGTTCCTTACTTCTTAGGCAGATGCACTCATTAGTATTGGATCTCTGCGCTGGCTGGTTGGGGACAGAGGGCTTATGGGATTGCCCCGAGTGCTGTGATGTCATTCTTGACTCAGCTGAACTCAACTCAGGCAGATGCACTCATACTTTCAAGCAAATATGAATCTTATCTGTATTAGTCAGCTCCTGGTTGGGAACATGTCTCTGGTATGACCGGGGAGAACTGTAGATAAGTCTTGACTAGTATGAGCCATGGTCCCTCTGCACCGCCAGGTGTGGTTCAGCATCTCTGCATACCTTACCTTTAGTTCAGTAGTTGTCGGTCTTTTTCTTTGTTCCCTAGCTGTAAACTTCGGCAGAAAATCCTGGTCGTTCATACATCTGGGCTTTGTGCTGGGGCCTGAGTTTTGCATGTAGACTCGTTTTACTGGCTTGTTTATAGTTGGTTGTTCCTTGCCGCTCGGACAGATACACTCCGACTTCGAAGGAGATTCCCAGTTAGTCGACTCTGACGATATGCTTGTTTGGGAGGCAGTGGGTTTATTCTTGTTTATCCTGAAATGGGGCCCCAGAATCCACGCTGGAAAGTTGTGGGATAATAAAGCATGTCACTGTCATGCCTGAAGTCTCAAATAGTTTTGTAATGTCTTTAACAGAAAGCTAGAGGGCATGCTACAGCATGAAATGGAAACATCGTCCACCCTGAGAGCAGAGATCGAGGAGCTGAAGATACAATATGTTGTCAGGCATGAGAAGGAGCAGGCTAAACTACAGTCCTTACAGAAGTCAGTTTCGGCCATTTTCTCATTTGTACATGTACATTTTTGTGGAATTTATGTGTGTGCATGCGTGTGTGTGTGTGTATATAGATTATTGTGTATCTAGGGGCTGGGCTGTAGCCCATTATCTTCAAAAATAGAGTAGCAAACAAATGGTCAGCTCACAGCTACACAACTGTCTCATTCAATTTTTGTGTGCAATTTTTACAGAGATCTTTGGAGACCATTGCCAGAGCTATTGAGTTCTCGATTTGTGCAGTCTCTTACAGTTAACCAAGTGTTGCCATGTCAAGGTGAAGTGGTACACTATTTTAATGTCAGAACGCAAACCTAATGCAGGTTTAATAATGATGAAAGCGATTGTTTTTAATGTAATTTTTACAAAAAATATGTTCAATGTTCTTGGCAGGCAGCTAGCTTTCCTGCAAAGAGAGACTGAGCTATGCTATATTGGGACAAAACCCCAGTACGGGGAAGTCGGGCCATCTTGACTTTTAACCTTTAACACAACATTGATTCTTACCTTGGTATTTGCATCAACTAAAAAAAACTTCAGGTTATGTTATATCACATGATGGCATCAATAACACCAAAAATGGTGTTCAGTGTTTATGGTTGAATAAATGGAGCAAACACTGTTTTGACATTAATTCTGTTAGAGTGCATATAGTTTGGCTACTAAATTTGAATTGGAGAAGCATGAAATACTGTCCCTAATACCTGCACACCCAAATACAAATCATGAATATGGATATACAGGTCTTTTTTTAATATATAAACAAAAAAGGTGCCAGTTCTCACTGCAGTGTCTCTTACAATAGTAAAGAAAATAACAATGCCTAAGTAAAAGTTGTTAGAACTGCTTACTGTTGCAAATAATGGGGTGATAAGCCATACTGATGCAGGCAAAACTATGAGCCTTTCAGAGGTCAGTTTCTATCATTTTCTCATCTGTACATATGCATTTTGTTGAATTTTCTTGTACATTGTTGTTTATATAGGGTCAGCTGTAGTCATCTAGTGGATAAAGCACAGATTGTAAATACAGTAGAGTCTCGATTATCTGGCACATGATTATCCAGACTCTATATCATCCAGCATGTTTGAAAAAAAAAAAAAAATTCACGGTAAGGAAATAAAGAATAATTTACTTTGCCAAGACGTTGGAAGTGTACATCACGTGTGTATAACATAAATTGAGACATCAAAATGCGGATTTCCTCCCACCGTCCTAAATTTTCTTCACTTCGTCAGTGTCAACAGTGCAGTATACATTTGCTACTGTTCCTGGCTACTTTTCAAATTGTTTTAATGTTGAATTAAGAATCGACATCACAGCACTCTGGACACTCCCATAGTGCTTAGTCCCCATCTTTAGCAGTAAGCTAGGAGTTCCAGTTCTGATGGTACCGTAACCATCTGATTGTATATACATCTCATCCTTCCCCTGAGTGTTGAGCGTCGTCCAGATCCCCTGGTAACTCCTCGCAGCGCCATTCTCCTTATACTGTAATGATCTATATGCACCTCCGCAGTGTTTACTCCCTCTCAAAGAGCTCTCACAATATCTAACTTATGCATCAATTCACCACCAAGTGGTGCAGAGCCAGCTAGTCTATCTGCCTGCTAATTTTCCACCACACCAGCATGACCTGGAGAAAATATCTAAAGGATGCTAACTGCCCGGGACCTCTGAAGTGATGCTTGCCGCTCTGCATGCAACATACCTGTTTTCACCTTTCTCAACGTGCTTTGTGAGTCAGTTCCAATTACGGCATGTGTGTACAGCTCATTCTCAAGCCAGCGGAAGGCAGCAGAGACTGCCACCACCTCCATTCTCAAACTAGATGTTCCAATTCCAATTCCAGTTGTCCAACAAAAATTACAAATTTGATCCTTTTTTTGCCGCCCGGAGGCCTGCTATATGAAGGAAGGTTCCTTGGCTGTCTTATTTGATTTCCTTTTATTTGTGGTGTGTAGTCACACCTGATAAACTAGACGTTGTGGTATCATATGCAAAGTTTTGCTGCAATAGGCGACGTCCATTTGTTTTCAAATTTTTTAATGTCCTTCATTGTTTTGTTAAAGATTATGAAATGGGTAATAAATGAAAACAAGGTTGTAATGACTGTGGAGGAGAAACTACAATGTATCACTTTCTGTAAGATTGTATGAATATGTTAGTAAAATATGTGTAAACTGTTTCCTTAGAGAAAATGAACTCCTGAAACATCAGCTGAAGAAGTATGTCAGCGCTGTGCAGATGCTGAGAACTGAGGGCATCAGTAAAGAAGGTTAGCTTTCTGATTGTTCAGATTTATAACAGGTGAAAAGTTGTTTATGAGTTTTCTAAAACAATAATAACTGACCAATGGGAAATGATAATTAATTCGCACAACAATTTATCATATTAACGTGAATGAAAATCAGTTTTAGTGTTGAGTTGGGCGTTTGTTGTTGAGAATCCCTTTCATTGTAGAGAGGTACTTTTATTGTCGAAAAAACGCTTTCAGTGTTGAAGGTATCTTTCACTAACATTTATTGTTTGAAGATCACTTTCATTGTTGAGAGTTACTTTTATTGAAAAACACTTTCAGTGTTAAAGATATCTTTCACTAACTTTTATTGCTGAAGATCACTTTCATTGTAGAAGATCACTTTCAGTAACTTTCATTGTTGAAGATTAGGATCATTGTTGAAGATCACTTTCATTGTAGAAGATCACTTTCAGTAACTTTCATTGTTGAAGTTTGCCCTTATTGTTGAAGATCACCTTCATTGCTGAGGGCAGCTTTAATTATTGAGACCACTTTGACAGATGATTCACATTTTCGTTAGCAACATAGTTTGTTATCTTGTTTCAGATACTTTAGGCATCCATCTTGAAGAACCACAGCCCAGTATACCTCCGCCCAAGCCAATGATTGACTACAGTCATGAGGCAGCAGAATATGAGAGAAAACTTATTCAGGTAATTTAAGTTTTAATCATACAAGAATTTTCTTTGAGATGTCTGGGAAGATAAAGGACCACCTCACTTCATATTTCTTGTCAAATATTGTGTTTACACTTTACACCCATGCAGCAGTGCCTACCATAGAGCTAACTTTACCTTATTTACTGCAAGGTATCACAACAGTGAGCAGATTAACAAAAAGAGTTTGGGAAAACAGTAACTTTTGTCTATCAGGCTTGTGTTCTCAGCACTCTTCTGTATGGCAGTGAAGCTTGGTCGATGTATTCACACCAGGGGAAACGACTTAATAGCTTTCACAAGTGATATGGCATTGAGGGGCAAGACAAGAAGATCACAGTGGGTAGTGGAAAGAACAGGTATCACAAAAATGATTACCAATAGTTTGAGAACTAATCAACTGAGAAGAAGCATTCTAAATACATATGATGGCAACAGTGGTCCTGAAATCCCATGCTCTCATTGCAGAGGGACTTTTCATAACGCAAGCAGGCTATGGTAGTCACACTTGCCATCATCATTGGCTAGGATTCCTCATGCCTCCCTATAGTGCAATATAACACTGTCGTCTGGAAAGAGGACCAACTCTCAGAGCCTAGGAAACTGTTTTCCAAAGAGATTGTTACTACAAAAGAACTTGTGTTAATTGTTCAGTGGCCTTCCTCATGTGGGCTCCAAGGCCCCATTTTTTGGGTGAAAAATAGGACCACTGCCCCCTGACAAGTATGTCATAAAATACAGCTAATTAGCGGTGTTTCCTTTAAAGCCGGAGGGAATCTGTCTGAGAGGCAAGGAAATAACAGATTCATACAGATCTGTAATAACAGATTCATGCAGAACTCAAATTCTGGAACAAGACTTAAATTCATAAGTGTTGGAACATCCAGAGCTGTCCACTGGAGTTTACAATGGTGAATTCTAAGAAGAAGAAATTTACTGACCTAAACTCCATTGGAGGAAACGCTATCAACTGGACGTAATACCAGGCAGTCTGATTGTGCTGTGCTGATTCTTCTCCTCTTCCTTTTTTTTTCTCCTCCTCCTCTTCCTTTTTTTTATCCTCCTCTTCTTCTTCTTCTTCTTCTTCTTCTTCTTCTTCTTCTTCTTCTTCTTCTTCTTCTTCTTCTTCTTCTTCTTCTTCTTCTTCTTCTTCTTCTTCTTCTTCTTCTTCTTCTTCTTTTTCTTCTTCCCCTTTTATCTCCCAGTGGAGCATAGATTCTCCATCAACTCACAGCATGTTGTCCTATCCTTTGACCCATATCTTTGCTCTCTTTTTTAATTCTTCCATTAAGAAAACTGTTCTCTTGTCGGCTGGATATTACTTGTAACCTAATTATTTTTTAGATTTCCATGATTGACTGGTTTTATGGCTCTGTTTTATAGGATGAGTAGGCATCTCCAAGCTCAACCCTACACTTTTTGCCTTTTATAACATGCCAGGTTGGGTGCAGCTTTACTACCTATACTTTCCATCTGAACTCCGATAACACACAGACGTGTGCTGAATGATAGAATTTATCATATGACTCGAATGATAATGCCTTGGACTTGAGAGTTGAAAACAATCTCCCAGTGGTTTCTCAACCAGTCAGCATGAACATTCATTTAGTAGAGAGAATATTTTATTATACAGAACAGATTTAAGTGTGTGGGTTGTTAAGTAGCTCAGTGTGTTTTTGTCATGTACTTTGTAAATTTTCTTTACAGTGCTTTAAAAAAAATATTTAAAAAAAAAAGCTTATTTATTTGCTTTCTCTCTGATTTTTCTTATTTTTATTTTGGTGTCTCCCGTTTAACGATTGGTGAACTGAAGATGAATAACAATATTGTTACTGAAGTTTTATGATAGTATCCTTTTATTTTATAATTGTATATTTTTTGCTTTAAGGTTGCTGAAATGCATGGGGAACTAATGGAATTTAATGAACTACTTCACCGGCAAATCCTAGCTAAAGATGTTTTACTGCGGCAGCTAAGAGAGGAGCTGGTTGTTTTAAGGGGACCTGTAAGATTACTTTAAACTTAATGTGATACTCTCGCATGTGCATATTTTTGTTAATAAAACTCCAAGGCATATGTTCTTTTATTGTTAAACTCACTGTAGTCAGCTTTGAAAAAAAGAGGAATGTGAAGAGGGTCACAGTGGGGAGGAGAGACGGAGAAAGAAAAAGGGAGGGTAAATATATATATTTGTCATGAAAACGACGAAATTTGGTTTGTATAAACTAAAATGAAGTTGATGAATGCCATTACGTATGAAGAATTGACTTTGCTTCCCGAAGAGGCTATGTCAATTCATGAATATTTGAAATATATGAAAAAGCCCATGCTGGAGACTTCTTGCTCACTGGTGCATCAACCCATCATCACCATATGCCTTTCGGGTAAATGTAAGCTCTCTTGTTTCATCATGTCACACGATCACCAGAATAAAGGATCAGGTCAATATTATTGTCTTGCTGCATCCATGTAGCCAAGCCAACCAGGTGTTTATCATGGAGCCTTCTTGCTCTCTTTCCACCAATCTTGCCAGTTGTTACCAAGTTCTCGAGACCTTTCGTTATCATAAATTATCTGAAAAAACATGGATTCTCTATGTCTAATTGTTCTGATCAGTTTATGACTTTCATCTATCTCAAGGAGGACTGCCTCATATGTTTTTCTATCATTCTTTACATTCTTGAGAAATTCTGCTGATGGAGGTACAGTTAGTTTCACTGATGGATCTGTTGCTCATGGGCTTTCACAGTTCTCATTGGAGGAAGAACCGTAAAGGAAGATAGCAGTGCTTTTGTCTTGACTACAAGTAGTCTGACTATAGAGGTGTCTTCTTCTTCTTCTTCTGCCTTTTTATCCCCCAATGGAGCATAGGCCCTCAACCAACTCACGCCAAGTCGTTCTATCCTTCGCCATTACATGGAGCTCTCCCCATGTCCTCCCAATCTTTCTAACCTCATTCTCCAGCTCTCTTCTCCATGTGTTTTTTGGCCTTCCTTTATTCCTATGCCCCTGTGGGTTCCAATGCAAAGACATTCTAGTTATGCTGTTCTCCTGTTTTCTCAGTGTGTGCCCTATCCAACGCCAGCGTCTTTTCCTCACCTCCTGATCCACTGGAGCCTGTTTAGTTCTCTCCCAAAGTTCTACATTAGTTATTCTATCATACCATTTTATTCCCTCTATTCTGCGCAGGCACCAGTTAATGAATTATTTGAAGAGCCTCCCCTCATCTTGGTTGGCTGGAGTTTATTTGCTTCTCTTTTTGACTTATCCATGGTTGGTTGGTTTTTGTGGCTATGGTTTTTACAGGATGAGGTAGCCAACCTCACGCCCAACCCTACCCTTAGTCGCCTTTTACGACATGCCTGGTAGGGTGCAGTGTCACTATTCTTTGCTTCCCGTGAGGGCCCCGGTGACACACGGGCGTATAGAGGTGTAGGCAGTAACAAAACCAATGGCCTGGCTAGAGATGAAGATTTCCCCCAAGTGTGCTTTCAAACTGATTCCTTGAACGTGATTAAGAAGATCGAAATAGAAGGGGTTTGAAGACAGTTGGAGTCTCTGAGGAAATATAATCTGACGGGTAGCAGTTTCATTTGTGTGCTTGGACACTTTAGGGGAAAAAGGAAATGAATGAACACTAGGCATGGGAAAAGCATTCGGCGAGGGCAATATTCACAATGCTTTTAATGAGGCAGGATGTGTAGGAAAAGATAGTGAATTGGCAATCTTGACAAGACTACAAGAACTTCATGTCAAAAGCGGTGTTGCCAAACATGAACACTATATAAGTAGCCAAAGAAGAATAGTAAACTAACACAGAACTGGTGTTATCAGTTGCCACATTCTGAGGGAGATACTGAAGATGGGATTTGAGCATTTTTGGACTTGTCTGATGTGGGATGAAGATGACTGGTCGATTAACTAGCTAAGTTGTTGTTGTTATCGATCCAGCGGCGCATGAGCTTTTCGCCCTTTGGCCCAATGCCATGTAGTGAAATTTGCATGGTTTCACAAGCTGTTCTTTTCCTCCGTACAAGGTGTTCCACTTGTCTGGTCTCGGAGGGAGTAGCTAAGTAACTGCAGTTTTCTCATCCAATGCAAGTAGATGTTTTCACATTGTCTGCTTATTGTTCATGTATCACATACATTTAACATCACAGGTTCTATCCCTATTGTTTCCACTGTAATTGACATCCTCTTATTGGTGAATATCTTTTGCCATGATAATTCTTGTTCTAATTTCTGCAAGGCATCTTGCGTCAGATGTTATGACTGTACCAAAATTGCTGTAGAAGAGTTGCCATTCTTATGTATTTTACGCTTTGATCAACCCATAGTTCTGAAGAATGTAATTGAAGAAGGTTGTTATGGTCTGTGGGAAAAGACTAAGCACTTCAGTATACATCTGTATACAATAATAGTGATCAGTTACCAACCAACAACACATACTGGGGCTTGAAGCCTGGATTATTGTATTGGTAAACAGTGCACCAGCATGGTTGCAGTATGTAGTAAGTATCTGGAGCATTCATTATCATTTATATCGGCTGTCATAAGACAGATGAGGGTAGAGAATACTACTCATATCAGTGGTTTCTTTGATGGTGCAAAGGTGCATTTTCTTTGGTGCAGAAGTGCATTTTCTTGATGGTGCAAAGGTGCATTTTCTTTGGTGCAGAAGTGCATTTTCCTTGATGGTGCAGAGGGGCATTTTCCTTTATGGTGCAGAGGTGCATTTTTCTTGATATGCAGAGGTGCATTTTTCTTGATATGTACAGAGCATTTTTCTTGATTGTACAGAGCATTTTTCTTGATTGTACAGAGGGGCATTTTTCTTGACTGTACAGAGGTGCATTTTTCTTGATATGCAGAGGTGCATTTTTCTTGATGTACAGAGGTGCATTTTTCTTGATGTACAGAGGTGCATTTTTCTTGATTGTACAGAGGTGCATTTTTCTTGATATGCAGAGTTGCATTTTTCTTGATATGAAGAGGGACATTTTTCTTGATATGCAGAGGTGCATTTTTCTTGATATGCAGAAGTGCATTTTCCTTGATATGCAGAGGTGCATTTTTCTTGATATTCAGAGGTGCATTTTTCTTGATATGCAGAGGTGCATTTTTCTTGATATGCAGAGGTGCATTTTCCTTGATATGCAGAGGTGCATTTTTCTTGATGTGCAGAGGTGCATTTTTCTTGATGAACAGAGGTGCATTTTTCTTTATTGTACAGTGGTGCATTTTCCTTGATATGCAGAGGTGCATTTTTCTTGATTTGCAAAGGTACATTTTCATTGATGGTGCAGAGTGCATTTTCTTTGATATGAAGAGATGCATTTTTCTTGATGGTGCATAGGTGCATCACCACCTGAAGTGGGGCACCAGGATCAGGACTACTCCTGGAATGCCTTTTGGTGTCAAGGCAGGAAGAGATCTCTAGAACGGGTCCTTCTGTTCGCTTTGTATACAGTACTTTTCAGTGTCTCAGATATTTCTGCTGTCAATCTTCTGCGTGGTTGACCTCTGGCTATGTTACTATTTTATCTGTTTAGCATTGCTCTCTGTGGTGCCCTGTCTGGTGTCAGTGTTAAGACCTATGTACTCACCTTCGTGGTCATCCTGGTAACATTATCCCTACAGAGTACCTGGCCGGTGTGTATAAGATTGATGTTTTCTTCAAAGTTTGTGCATCTGCCTGATAGGCAAGGAATCCCCATTTTCAGTTGTAACATATTTTGTACAGTGTCTCTGCTCTTTTCTCTATCTGGTCTGCACACATTAAACCAGACGTTTGATATGATCTGCATGCAACACTCACATGCTGGAACAAGACCAAAGTCCAGACATGGAGGACACAACCAGAACACATCCTAGAACAAGACCAAAGTCCAGACATGGGGGACACAACCAGAACACATCCTAGAACAAGACCAAAGTCCAGACATGGGGGACACAACCAGAACACATCCTGGAGCAAGACCAAAGTCCAGACACAAAGGACACAATCAGGACATGCCACCTGAGTTCACAGCCGGTGAAGCAGAAAAAGTTTTCCTCATGTCTTTCTTGAAAACAATAATGAGAGCGGCCATAAAGATTATTTTTTGTCTTTTATAAAAAAATTTTTTTTAAAAAAACGGTTTAAAGTGAGAATATCAACATCATGTCACTGAATTCTATCTCATCTGATCCAGTCTCTCTTTAAAGAGCAGCTGGCTGCTTGCTGAGATTATTGTGTAAATCATGAGCTCTATCTGTAACTCTAGCAACAAAACTTATGGATCTCTGAAAACTCAGTGTTCACGAATTGTGAATCAGTCAAAAAAAAGGAAAGAGACCTATTACTTTCAGAACATGAGGCTAATGGCCTGACTACTTTGCCACACAATCTTAGTGATGTATCTGGTATAAAAACATGATAAGCAGATATCAAATTTAAATGACAATGACTGTCTTCTCACCTCCTCAGCTACCATACGAACGCCAAGCCTCCAGTGACTCTGGCCATGACATGGAGAGGTGAGTTGTAAAGCAGTTTTGCCACACTGGTGTGCAACAGCACTCTGATTGTTTCAAAAGAACCCCATTTTCTCCATATGGGCTCCTGGGCTCTGTTTTCAGTGAAAAAAAACAGACCCATTGCTGCTTAGTAAACATGTCATCAAAGCTGTTTAATTAAGAAGGTTTATTTATAACTGAGAAAATAGGAGGTGTTAGGTTGAAAGGTGCAGAAATATCAGCCTAGTCGTAAACCATAACACAATGTGCCAACAATCATTTTAAGATCAAATGCAGAGGAATGAAAAGAAGAGCATTATATTTGTTTGAAGATAACAGGATTTGAGTTGAGTTGATTCAAGAACTGACATCAAAGCACTTGGGGCATTCCCACAAGCACTCTATCCCCATCTTCTTAATTGACAGCCATCTAACTTGGAGTTCCCATGTTCATGCCATGACCAAAAAAGTAGCACAAAAAGTATATCAACTTGGAAAAATTCAGCACTTTCTGGACGAAAATACACGTAAAATATTTTACGTATCCTACATTCAAACGCATGTTGACTATTGTTCCACAATTTGGGATGGCTGCTCCAAATCTAATGTCAAACGGCTGAGTTCTTTACAAAATAGGGCCTTACGCCTAGTTTCCGATAGAAACTACGTTGAGAAAAATCTTTTATATGGACATCTAAGGCTTCTGCCATTTAGTAAACGTTTAATTTTAAATAAGGCCAAATTTATTCACAAAATCCTATCTAAAGATACTCCAAATTACATAGACCGATTTATTCAATCTAATCCTAAGAATAGCAAGCGACTAGGTTTATTACATTTGCCTAAACCCAGAATTGATTTATTTAAAACAAAGTCTAGCATATTCTGCTGCTCATTTATGGAACCATCTTCCACCCGATCTGAAAACTACAAAAAGTCCTTACTCATTTAACCGCAAACTCTTTCATTTCATGATTATCAGTGATTACATGCCACCTTAAATGTAGTTAATAATCCACAATGCATTACTAGTTATAATTAATTGCAGTACGTATGATATGTTTTATGCGTATTGTGTGACATGGCGTGTGTAGGCGTATGTGTGTATGTATGATTCTGTGTATGCATGGGTAACTGTATACGTTTGTGTGTATGTATCTGTGTGTAGGCGTGTGTCTGTGAGTGTGTCTGTTTGTCTGTATGGTGTCTGGGTGAGTGTCTGTGTGTGTGTATGTATGTATGTATGTATGTATGTATGTATGTATGTATGTATGTATGTATGTATGTATGTATGTATGTATGTATGTATGTATGTATGTATGTATGTATGTATGTATGTATGTATGTATGTATGTATGTATGTATGTATGTATGTATGTATGTATGTAAGTATGTATGTATGTATGTATGTGTGTATGTATGTATGTGTGTATGTATGTATGTGTGTGTGTATGTATGTGTGTATGTGTGTGTGTGTGTGTGTGTGTGTGTGTGTGTGTGTGTATGTGTGTGTATGTGTGTGTGTGTATGTGTGTGTATGTGTGTGTATGTGTGTGTATGTATGTGTGTGTCTGTGTGTCTGTGTGTCGGTGTCTGGGTGGGTGGGTGGGGGGGGGATTGGGTGTGTGTGTGTATGTATGTATGTGTGTGTGCATGTTTGTATGTATGTGGATGTATGTGTGTACTTAGTGCCTATATGTTTGTGTGTGAGTCATTGGGCGCGTGAGCGTGCGTACATATTTTACCAGCCATGCTTTTATATATAATATGCATATTATTACATGAATATAACATGCTTCATGAATATAACTGCTGTGTGAAAGATGGAAGTTTGGAAGGGCCGAATGTAAGACAGGCCTGCGTGCCTAATTTGTAACCCTTTGAAAATAAAGTTCGTTCGTTCGTTCGTTCGTTCGTTCAGCAGCCAATGAAGAGTTCCAATGTTAATGGTGCCAGTAGAATTCTAATTACCAGGATTTAAGTGTGTCTAAAATTGTCAGTCAAAAAGACTATTAAAAAATCATATATTTACTGTTTAAGGTATCCTGTAGTTTCTTTTCCCATTACTTCAACAAGGGCCATGCAGTACCTGCTAATTTATGCGCACATTTTTGAGGTGTTAGATTTGGTAAAAGTACCAAAAAATAGTTGGATATTTACAAAATTTAAAGAAAATGCTTTAGCCAGAAATGAAGTCAAATGCTTTTAAAAAAAAAATATTTTATAATGTAATTGCTACACTTTCTAAATGTTTTATATTCATCTATTGTAAGTCAGTACTGTGTCATAAATAAGGGACTTAATAGTTTTCATTTTTGTGTGTGTGAATATATTCCTTATAGAATCTTTTTTTTTTTTTTTTTTGGAGAAAATATTTCAATATGTTTTGTCTTTGTTAATAACTTTCTATTAGATCATGTTTGTTTGTGAATACATTCCTTATAATTATTGATAAAAGATTTAGTAAAAAACAAATGAAAGTTCACTCAGAAATTGAGAACTGGGCTAATCCCAGAAAAATACTAAATAATCTGGTGGAGGAGGGAGGAGGAAGAAGAAAAGGGGGGGGGGGGGGGGGGGGGGTCCTGCCTGTATTGAAAATTGATATTTTGATCGTAATCATCATCATCAGCATGATCATCATTTTGAGGTGTTTATGCTCATGTAAAGCTTATATTCTAGTCCTTCATTCAATTCAAGGTGTGGAGTTACATTTCCTAACTCCCATTTTTCAGTATATCTCTCCAGCGGCCTCTTATCAACATATGGATTCCATCTGCATTCCTTAGAGGAACAGCAAATAATACTCATCATGTTTATCAGGTAGGTCTAGTTACAGAAAGTTGCAGTAGATTGTGTAACATTATTCCCCATATGGGTTCTAGGGGCCCCCTTTTGGGAGAATCGGCCCACTGCTCCCTAGCAAGCATGTCATACAAGGTGACTGTTAAGAAGTTTGCTGACATTGGATGTGTTGGGTTGAAAGACGCTGATATCACTTATCGTGCACTATGGATAATGTGCACAGCTTCTCTTGTACTGTAGCTCCCTTGGGCCAGATCCACAGTCTTTGCTGGGTGTAGTTTGGGCAGTCCTGCAGTATGTGCTCAGGGGTCTGTCTTTCTACCCGACAATCACAGGCAGCAGATTATTTTATGCCTATCATGTACAGATGTGCTCTGAGACCACAATGTTCTGTCTGAAGCCTAAGAATTGATGTCTGTTCTTTCCTGTTGAGTTTGTTTAAACTGTCACTCTCTGGTCTGTAGTCTCCATTCTTCATTCTCCACTCCCCCTTGAAAGACTGCTTCAGGGTTTTCCTTTCCTTGTAGCTGTGTGGTGGATGAGGTTGTGGAAGATTACTCCCAGCTTTTTCCAGCTCATCTGCTGTCTCATTTCCTTGAATACCACTGTAAGCTGGTATCCGCTTGGAGAACAGACAGTGAGTCACTAAGTATAACAATTTTGTGCCGTCTGTATTCTTGAGTAGTGAGGTGCTGGACTGCGGAAAGAAGGGCATATACCTTAGCTCTGTAGTTAGTAAAGATGTCACCTGCTGGTAGAAGAGAGAGAGAGTTTCTTCTCTGCTGTTAGGGTGTTTAATGTATATTCCATAGCACCCCTTTCTGACTAAATCTATAGCAGAGTCATCAATGAAAACCTGAGTCTAAGTGGTGTTAGGATACTTCTCTTCAAGCATAGCAAGAGCCGGGGTTCTCTGTTGTATTTCCATCTGGGCATCTTTTGAAGTGATCCCTGGTACTTTTAGGACTACATTTGCTTTTTCTGGCTTGCTAAACCATAGTTCTGGACTAAGCTTTTCGCACCATGCAACATCTCTTTCAAGTGATTCAGTATCTGCTTTCCTCTCTGTCTCTCTGATGGGGGTGGTTTTCATGGCTCCAAGAACAATCCTCAATCCCATATTCTGAACCTTGTCCAGTTTTCCCATTGTTGTCTTGGCTGCTGTAGCCCACGGCTCTTTGTTCATTATATTTCTTCAGCCTGGCTCTCCATGACAGTACCAGGGCATTCTCACCAGCAGGCCAAACCAAATAAATGCTTTTTCTGTTTGTAATGTACCCTACAGTTGTATTATTTACCATCCTTCTCTTCTAAGGTCTATGTCCGCATTCGAGATGAGGAATGGAATGTCTACAGACGTTACAGTCAGTTCCTTGATACTCATTTGAGGCTTAAGAAAGTGTATCCAATTGTGGGAAAGTTTGATTTTCCACCAAAAAAGGCCATTGGCAAAAAGGTTTGTCTTAGGTGTTTATTATATGTAATGTGTTAAGCAGAAAAGGTGATTTGTTTGAATACTTCTCTGGATAATAAATTTGTGTAATGGCTCATGCCTGCAGAATAACCCAGCCTAAAATTGGTACCGCAGAAAAGATACTATGAAGTAAAGGTAAGCAGACTGATACTGAGAAGTGCTGAGTTTGAATTCAGCTGAAGGCAGTATTCAGAAAACAATTGTTCAAATAAGCCTGATTATTTTTTTAATCCACACTTTATCGACACATACTGAAATAGGAGCCTCCTATGAGTGCATTAAACATGAAAGAATACTCATTAGGTTTGAAGTCGACAAGAATGGTTCATATTGTTTGCCACTCATATAGTTTGAGCTTAAAAAAAAAAAACCATACAGTTATCATAGTCTTGTAGAAAAGTTTCCAAGATATCATAGTTTTGTTGAAAAACTGCCAAGATGTTACAGTTTTGTTCCTGTGTGGAGTCGACTAGCTAAGGGGCTGCCTTTGCAGTCAGAGTGCATCTGCCTGAGCGGCAAGGAACAACCAGCTGTTCACAAATAAGCTAGTAAAACGGAAGTACACGCAAAACTCAGGCCCCGGCACAAAGTCTAAATGGATAAACAACCAGGATTTTCCACCGAGCTTACAGCCGGTGAACAGAGAAGGAGGAGGAGATTATAGTTTTATATGGAAGCTACCAAAACTTCTTTCTTCAAGAGCTACCCAGATATTATACTTTATTTTTTTTTTCTTCAAAAAGCTACACAGCTATCATAGATTTGTAGAGAGATTTACAAAATAATCACCATCCTATTATAAAGAAACACAACTAAAATTACAAAGATGTGAGAAAACACAAATCAAGTAATGCAGATAGCAAGAATCGATGAAGGTGGGCAATTATAGATGATTACAGGGAGGCACAACAGCATTCTCAGCATGAAGAAAATGTATAGACCAGTAATCAGCTAACAGAGCTGCGGGAGAGAACTAAATAAATTCTGGTGAAACAGGGGGTGGGTAAAAGGTGTTGATAGAACACACATTGAAAAAAACCAATAAAATGTAACTACAGGGTGTCAATTAGGTATCAATACTTAGGAAACAACATATTACTAATGTCATTACAAGCATAACTCCATCTGTGCTTAATCCTGTTCTCTGGCAGTGGATGACACATCAAAATGTGTTTTCAAAATAATGGTTATCATGTAGAGCATATTAGCGTAGTCCGTGGCTTAGGCGTTGGGAGTCAGACTCGTAATTCCAACGTACCACGATGGAAACCTACTGCTGGCTGCGTGGATTTTTATCATGATATGAGGCATCGGAAGCCGACCCAGGCTGGAATGGGTACCAGGATGTATGTTCTGGGGAAGTAAAGATGGTCGGCGAAATGCTGACCACATTACCCACCTAGTGCCGATTGGTCCGTACAAATATGGGTGCTCTTCCCATATGCCTGATGCCCCTAAAGGCATGAAAAGGGATTTTTACTTTTACTTTACTCCACTATGTAGAGCATATTATATAAATAAAAATGGTTTTCATTAAAAAATTTCACATAAACACAATGGAACCTACCAAATACCTTTCTTAAATGTTTGCGTATTCTAGACAAAGCATTACGGTTTACTGTATTTGTAAATTGTTGCTGTGTTTGTTATTCGACCTATGTTTCTTTAATATAAATTTCTGTAACCTATGGTGCCATTTCAATGGTTTGAGATGAATTCTGTCCGTTTTCCATAGCTATGGATTTCAAGCTATACAATAGACATGACCAATGAAAACACCTTTATTGGGGTGCCTAGTTGACCATGTTCTTAGTGCACTTGTTTCCATAGCGAAGTGCACACATCATTTGGAGGTGACAGTTTCAATTCCCCGGCACGGTAACTGTAGCTTTCGATTTTTATGTTGTCTCTTGTGTTCTTCTATCTTTCTACTTCTTTCTATGAGTGCCAATCAATACACTGTTTGTTTGTTACGGTAAAAAAATGTTTACTTTTCCTATGTATGAAAACTTATGGGACATGCTGTAGAATGTCCTTGCACGAGAACCAACAGGTCCATAGATGTAATGGAATACAAAAGAGCATATGATGAAGAGAATTAGAGACTGAGTTGAAATGGATATTTAGGATGTGGGATGAGCAGCAAAACATCCTCACAAGTTGGTTGAGATCCTGTGCTGCATGGGGAGGGGAGGGTGAGGGAATAAAAAGAACAAGAAACAATTGATAGAAAATAATGATGTTGTTTTGCATTTTGACACTGTTTATACTATAATTATTAATTTGTGGTCCCAGTAATCATTGGTTAGAATTAGAATGTCTGGTGGGAATGTTTTCAGGAAGCCAAGTTAGTGGAATCTAGGCGGCAGATGTTCCAGACTTACCTGCGAAATGTAATCAATTTGATGATGGAAAAAAGTCAACATATGGCAGCTAATGTCAGCAAAGATATGCTTATTTCATACTTACCATTCTTCAAGTAAGTAGTTTTTAATTAAATAATTGTTAGTTCTTTTATGTATGATAGTACAGCAAAGAGACAAAACTGAATCATAGACATCTTACAGTAAATAGCTCTGCATGATATCATCTGCATATTACTGGGAGTATTCACAGCAAATGTTAGAGTTGAAATAACTTAAAAATAATATTTGAAACTACATGTCTTTGTTTGAAAATAGTAATTCTGATGTTGCCTGCCAATACAAATCACACTACAAAGTACTGTATACATAAGAACTATACAATACTAAGTACTGTATACCTAAGGACTGTATGCACTGTGCTGTGTTCACCCGTGTTTAATATTATCTTCTGCAGTGACAAGCTAGAGGAACTGGGTAAGAGAGGAAAGAAAGGATCACGGACCTCTGCAGCTACAGTACCTATGTCGGTCCCAGAAGGTGCCGTAGGTGGAGATACTGTGCAAGCACCGAATGAAGGACACTACCAAGGATTGTAGTTTTACCAAATTCATCCATGTAAAATTTGGGTTGGGATCGTCAGTCAGGGTGTGGCAGTCAGTGGAAACTGTTGCTTATTATTATTTATTAGCATTTTTGCAATTCAGCAACTCTGTGTGTGTGTGGGTTTTGTATATATATCTTGGTAGGCCAGTGGTTGATAATACCTACTAATGATGAGGCCTGGTCTTGCCCATTGAAAACAGGATTAATCTATTTCAAGCTAGCATGTCTTTGAGGTCGACACAGCCTCATAGAATGAGTACTTACATTTTTTTTTTCTGGAAGCAACAGTGGTGGAAAAAATAGGACTTCTGCCTCAAAATACTGTGACATTAATATTTAAAACCTATTTTAATATCTTGAGGCCCAAACACTTCATGCCTCAGTGGTGGTATCTGCGAGGGGATAACTTTTAACTTAATGTTTGTACACATACATACGCCACAAACTCTCTCACATACATGTGTGTGTGTGCAGGCACATGCGTTGATTTGTATGTATGCATATGATGAGACAACTAAATTTTTTTCCCTTATGTTTTAAGCATCCACTTGTCTATCTGTTTATCTGCGTGTCCATCCGTTCATACCTGTCTGTCTTATAACAGTCATTGGTAAAAGAGAAAACTCTGTGCCAAAGTTTGCTGACTTTAGCCAGATATGGTCTGGTTTGCATTCTTAATGTGTTCATGTCCTGTATTCTTGGTAGAATGTGATTTTTAATCTGCTTGAAGCTGTACACCTTAAGCATTGGTATTTCTCTGTCAGATTCTGGGTCGACCCAGCCTTGAGTGGTTACCAGGTACAAGTCCTGGGAAGTAAAGGTAGCCAGCGTGATGCTGACCACATTGGCTCTATAGCTTGAGCTTGTTTGCAGTCTGTTCATTTTTGGTCTTCTTAAGTATCTGTAGCTTGAGATCTGGGTCTGTCTGAAGCTCTAAAGTATGAGCTTCTGTGATTGCAGACGCAACACAATAGTTGTTTTGGCTTTATTCTCACTGTTTTCTTCTTCCTCTTCTCTAGTCCTGTTTGAACGTTTAGCATCAGGTTTTAAAGAGGTATTGGGCGTGAGCCTTTGTATTTACTGCATAGATGCTGGTATTTACGATCTCGGATATTTCATCTATCCATCACTTGCATGATCTCTAGCTCTGCTTCCATTATGTTAAAAATCTGACTATTTTAATTGTGCAAATTACATTTGAATATTTTGTTTTCAGACAAATTTTAACAGTCTTAATAATAAAAAGTTACTGCATTTCTTCTGTGTCTAGCAACAGGTAAAGGATGATTAATTGCCCCATCTTTTCACTGCACGACAATTGCATTGCCATCTGATTCATTTCAGTGTTTATTTTATGTGTGTTTTCTAAACATCTTCAGAGGCTGCGGTATCACGTGCACATTGGGAAGTGCAGTTTTAATTGTTTTGTCTGTGTATTTTATTTTATTGTTGACTAATTAAGTTCAAACTGTATAATGTTTGCACCATTATAAAAAGAAGACCCTTTTGTGTTTTGGCAAATATGCTTACCGGTACCTTTACATTAGTTTACCTTTTGAGTGCCATATTTTGCATATTTGTGTGTATGCGCACATACCACACAAACATACCACACACACTGAGAAAGGGAAAAAGAGAGGGAAAGGAAGGAGTGGAGAAATACAGAGAGAGAGAAAGACAGAGATAGGCAAGGGTGACACAGAGAGATAGGGAGGCAGAGCAAACTGCTGTCATTTCTTCATTTTTAATTATTTTGGCTTCTGGCTGAAAAACAAATATATATTCTAGTTCTTTTACGATGTGAGTCAGGTTCAGGTTGTTGTAATAAGTGTTATATTTGACACAAAGGCTACATATTGTCTTTCACATTTTATTTCAGATTTGTACCCAAGGTGTGCCATTTTAAAAGCGTGGTTGTTTAGCTTTTTATATTTGTAAGCTAAAGCCGATATCTGTGAGTCAGCTTTTAAAATTTATGTTCTTTTATTTTGAATGTTATGACATTAATATTTGTTGTTTGAAAATACTCATGTAAGTGTATGCCGGTGTAGCACAAATGCAGTATATTGTATACTTTTACTTTTTATTAAATATCATGTCATGTTATGTGATATTTTTTCTTGTAGTAGGTCCTTTACAGAACACTGCTACCATCACAACACACCTAAAAGAAATATGGTCTGTCCCCAGCGTCCCTGCTTCATGTATGTTCCTGCCCAAGAAGGGGACATGCACAAGACGGTAGCAAGTTTTCTAATGGTTGAAAAATAAGTTAATAAATTGCCTAGTCAAACAGAAATAAGCAGCGACTTCTTTGCATTCATCAGCTGTAAACTTCTGTGGAGAACTGGTTTTTACATCCACTTCTGGACTTTAGTCTTGTTCCCAAACTTGAGTTTTGCATGCATATCCATTTTACAGACTTGGCTCATTTGTTTGCAGGCTGTTGGCTTCTCACCTGTCAGGCAGATGCACTCTAACCTTTGAGAAAACACCCTTAATTAGTCAAACTTTTACGACATGCTGGGGGGGGGGGGGGGGGGGACTGTAGTTCCATGCATGATATCATATGGCACTGTAGGAGAAGGGTTGGATATATGTTCTGGTGCATATTTTGAGTTTGTCATGCTTTTTCTTCCTTGTTCACAGTTAGGCATCCACATTATTGCTGATAAAAGCAGTAGTTTCAGGTTCATGACATTCCTGTACAGTATTTGATGGAACAAAGTTTGGCTGATGCCATTTATGTTCATGTTCAGTGTTGTAAGTTGATTAAGACTGTTGAATGTTGACTTGAGAATTGACCGCATAGCACTCGGGACATTCCCATAAGCACTTCATGCCTGTCTTTGGCAGCAAGCGCAGAGTTCCAGTTCCGATGGCACCAGTAACAGTCTGATTGCATATCCATCTCACTTTTTCATTGAGCGTTAACCAGATCACCTGGTTACTTCCGGTAGCACCATTCTCCTCAGACCATGATGATCTGTTTGTGCCCCTACACTGTTGATTTGCTCACAAAGAAACCCTTATGACATCTAGTTTGTCATGCATCATTTCACCACCAAGCGGTGTAGAATCAGCCAGTCTATCTACCTGTTCGTTTCCCAACACTCACAAAATATACAAAGGATGCAAACTACCTGGGACCTCTGAAGTGATGCTTACTACTCCTGTCTTTGCCTTTCTCTAAATGCTCTGTGAGTCAATTACAGTTATGAAAATTAGGACTATAAAATTGACTGCCATCATAGAGCTGTTCCCATACACGCCAAGGTCCACTGCACCTTTCTTGAACTTATGATACAAGTGGGATTTCAGTCCATTGTGTACTGCTCACAATCTGAAAATGAAACCCTGATGCTGCCTTGGAAGTTTGGGATAAACTTACCCTTTCATATTCACTATAGAAGCTTTAATTTGATGAGTTTATTCACACAGCTGCTATATAATTTCCTGGGTTATTTTGTTGTCAATACCTGATGTAAAGAGCTTTTGAAAAAAGTTTTTCCCATAAAGGAAATTATTGTGTTGTTTTAGATTTTAGTAACTACTTGTGAATTTGCTTTCGTTTTTCCATCAGCTTATATGATAGAGAATCTTAATTTGAGCCTTCATGCTTAGACACCTGGGGTTTGTTCATTAATTGCTTGTATTCTCAGCTCATATAAAACTTCTTAGTGATTTGTTGATTGGTGAGGACTATCATTACAGCACTGCAGACAAATTCATAGGTGATTGATGCTCTGGTCTCAGTAGCCCCACAAGCACAAAATGAATGATCAAACACATTCTGTATAGATAAATTAAATGTCAGTACACTTGGGAAAATGTCCATGTCCAGCTCGTCTAGGCTGCATTCCCATCTCCACCAACCTGGACAGGGAAACTAAGTCCTGCTTGTTGTGGTAATCATCCTTATTATATGCATCTCTAATCTTTATAAATCACCTCTGACCTCTATTGATACCAATTCTGTTTTCCATTTTGATTAGTTTTGGCGCATCTCAGAGTTCCGCTCATAATTTGTGTTGCCTAATTTGGCAGTTTGTTCAGTTTACCATCATGGACCTTGAAGGGATGCCATGTTTTATGAATCTTACTCTTCTTATTAAGAACAATTTAAGTAGGTTGTCACCAGCTCCCAAATAAATACCCTAGGGCATTAATTGTTTGGCCTTTTTTGTGTGCCTTGATTACTTGACTTCTTTATGTCAGACAGCGGATCTAGTATGATACATAAATATGTAGGATCTTTTTTCCCCCTGAGATTTACTATTCCTGATGACATAGCTGTAATCGTTCTTGTTTGTTTGATAAAGTAAATGCGTTTTGAATGTAGGTCCAGATGTATTATTTTTGTTGTTGGGTGATTTTAAAAAGCTAGCTGTTTAAACTATTTTTTTTTTTTTTTAAAGGGCCAGTAAATAAATCTTGCGTAAATTTGCCTGTAGGAGTTGTAAAATTGTCTGGGTTCACGCATAAAGGAAAACTATTTGCATAGCTGTGAACATTCTGTGATGAGATATCATTGATGTATATAAGAAAGAGCGTAGGAGATATCATTGATGTATATAAGAAAGAGCGTAGGAGATATCATTGATGTATATAAGAAAGAGCGTAGGAGATATCATTGATGTATATAAGAAAGAGCGTAGGAGATATCATTGATGTATATAAGAAAGAGCGTAGGAGATATCATTGATGTATATAAGAAAGAGCGTAGGAGATATCATTGATGTATATAAAGTAGGAATATCATTGAGCGTAGCGTAGGAGATATCATTGATGTATATAAGAAAGAGCATAGGAGATATCATTGATGTATATAAGAAAGAGCGTAGGAGATATCATTGATGTATATAAGAAAGAGCGTAGGAGATATCATTGATGTATATAAGAAAGAGCGTAGGTTAGGAGCTTTTTCTTGTTGTTTATTTGTTCTCTTGCTGCACTGTTTGTTATTGACTGGTCCTAGTATACATTCTCCAAC